CTGGTGCTCCCCCCACAAGCGCCCAGGGCCGGCGCTCCCCCCACAAGCGCCGCGCCATGTGCCCGGGGCCAGGCCAGCCCCGAGCACCTGGCGGGCGCATGCAAATGCCCCCACGGGCGCCATGTTGGGGACCACAGATATAATGGGATCTTGACTAAGTAGGGCAATTTCAGATGCACAAGCACATATTTTCATGGTACAGATTAGACCTCCCTGATCTGGCACCATTAGGACTGGTCCCAAATGAGAGAATTTGCCAGACCAGGGGAGATCTCCTGCCACAAGGCCCCAAACCTATCGCCTGTTGCTGGCAGGCAGCCCCAGCAGGCACCTGGCCTCACCTTCTCTCCCAGCCTGGCTGGACTACTTGCTTAGATGTTGCTTGTTCTCTGGGCAGCACAGGCTTCAGCTCCTGCCACAGGGCTCTGCCCTACACTCCCGGGGGGGAACTGCCGTGGGGCTCTAGCCATGGCCCCACACTCCAGGGGCTACTGCACAGCTCCGGCCCCAGCTCTGTGCTTTAAGGCTATCAGGGGATTTGGCCCCATGCTGCCACGGGGCTCCAACTCCAGCCCCATGCTCCTGGGGGCTGCCGTGGTGCCCTGGCCTGCGCTCCAGAGGGTTGCCAGAAGACTCTGTCCCCGTGCTGTCATGGGGCTCCGGCTTCAGCCCTCGCTGAAGATGATCTTGATATTAACTCAAGACCCTATCATTCTAATTTTCTTAAGAACCTTTTCCAAATCACAATTTTTCCCCTTTCAATTTTCAACAATTTTTATGACTCAATTTATAGTAATAACATTTGTACAGAAAAAACACCTAAATCCGAATACATAGGCAGCTGTTAATCAGTATTTATTTTGAGCTACAGAGCACAATCCTCTGGGCATTACAGTGAAGTGAAAAAGTATTCATCTGATCAAATCCCAAAGGTTCCATGGCAGAGTTTGTTATCTCAGAGAAGAGATAGAGATAGAGATAGAGATAGAGATAGAGATAGAGATAGAGATAGAGATAGAGATAGAGATAGAGATAACGAGAACAGAACAAAAATTCTGGGGAATATGAAGAGAAAGCATGAGCATAATAGGTCTTGGTAGTTCATAAGAACTTCCTGAAGAAAAAACTACAACTGCTGCTTACAAATGCACTTAAAATTTGAAGTTTGTGTATAGAGGCAGATAGCAAACAACATCAGCACTAGTAGAGATCATTAAAAGTTATAACAGCTAGTTTAACAACATTAGAGAAGAGCTCTGTGTAAACTTGAAAGCTTGTCTCTCTCATCATTAGAAGTTGGTCCAATAAAAGATACCTGTTCAAAATAACTACATTTGAGTTTTTCTTTGTATTTTACAATGAAGAGATGCCCGTTATTGTGAAACCTTTACATTATGCAACTTACTATGTTTATAGAATTATTACATCTTGTGAAGATATAATTCCTTCCACCATTATTTTAATCTAGGACAAAATGTGTTGCATCTGAAGAATTTTGAGTCATATTTGGATATGTTTACACACTGTTGAGTAGCATGTCACTTTGCAAGTAGTCTCCTAAAATGTAAATGGGATTACTTTTGCAAGTAACTGTTTTGCAAGTAACTGTTCTCCAATATGAGCAGAGATTTACAATCTACCCATACATATTCTCAATTAGGACTCACCTTCTTTCAAAGCTTTATCCATATTATGAGAAATGACCACCCTCCGAGACTGAAGAGATTCATGTGCACTTGCAGACAAGTGACTCTGAAATAAAAGAACACATATTACTAAAGACAGAAGAAGAAACTTGCTGCTGCCCGGCTCCAGCTATTCAGCTTTTCAGGTAAAATCATCTACTTTTTATACAACACTACAGCTATCTAAATTATTAAAACAAATCAATGACATGTTCCTATAAGGTTGATGTAAGCACTTACTGTAAGAATTTTAGGACACATTCGGGGTATAAATCCTCTGCTTTAAAATAATTCTATTTAGTTGCTAAAAGGAATCATCTCCCATTTACAGCCCTTATCAGGGCTGTTCCCCACTCTGACACTCTGAGTATAGAAGGAGGGCACCTGCAAGAGACCTTAAAAATACCTTGCCTCTATAGCCTTCTGCTTAAAAACTCCCCAACGTCATAGATCCCCCTGGTCTTGGGAGGTAGCTGCCACCACCAAGTGACATAAAAGAAACCCCTTTCTTCCTGAACCCAGGAAGAAAAGCACCTGGACTTCTTCCAGAGGGGTACCCTACAACTCTTTTATCACAAGAGAGCTTGGGGGGGAAAAAAGAGAAAACAAACTGCAGTCTCTGATAGCTGACCTCTCAGTCTAGGCAGACACACAGAGACCTCCTCTTTCTCTTCAGGACACAAGAATCAAATCATCACCTTAAAAAAGGTGATTTTATTAACAAAACAAAAAGATATACTTGATAAAGCATACCTGGTTGTTAAGTGTTACACAGCAATTAAGAAAATAATAAATCAAAAACACAAAGAACCATAGCTCTTTGGGCTATAGCTGAAATGGTGAGTGGGGGAGGGAAGGCATGGATTCACACAGAGAAGTTTAACCAAACAGGCAAAACAAAGAAAAATACCCTAATTGCGACTAAATACACATTTTCCTTTATTTACTCATGATCCCTTTGTCGTTCAGTCTAGGGATTTAAGCAACTAGTTGACTATCCAGTAAGTATGTGCTTATTAGATACTCAATTACTGATAGGGTTGCCAGGTGTCCGGTATTCACCCAGTCTGGTATTTTCACCTCCTGTCCAGTAAAAAAAAAAAAAAAAAAATTCAGAAAATACCTAAGATGTCCGGTATTTTCTGATCTTTTTCCCCATCCAGAAGGCGAAAATGCCAGGCACCTAGCAACCCTACATACACTCAGGCTATGTCTACATTGGCATGATCTTGTGCAAATACTCTTTAACGCAAGAGTTCTTGCATTAAAGTATTTGCGCAAGAGAACGTCTACACTGGCATGTGCATTGGCGCAAGAGCATCCGTGCCAGTGTAGACACTCTCTTACACAAGAAAGCTCTGATGGCCATTTTAGCCATCGGGCTTTCTTGCGCAAGAAATTCATGTT